AGTGTAGCAGGCAGTGAGGGAGGTAGAGAAGTTGAAGGAGGGAGGGAGTGAAGGAGTGAGTGTAACAGGCAGTGAGGGAGGTAGAGAAGTTGAAGGAGGGAGGGAGTGAAGGAGTGAATGTAACAGGCAGTGAGGGAGGTAGAGAAGTTGAAGGAGGGAGGGAGTGAAGGAGTGAGTGTAGCAGGCAGTGAGGGAGGTAGAGAAGTTGAAGGAGGGAGGGAGTGAAGGAGTGAGTGTAGCAGGCAGTGAGGGAGGTAGAGAAGTTGAAGGAGGGAGGGAGTGAAGGAGTGAGTGTAACAGGCAGTGAGGGAGGTAGAGAAGTTGAAGGAGGGAGGGAGTGAAGGAGTGAATGTAACAGGCAGTGAGGGAGGTAGAGAAGTTGAAGGAGGGAGGGAGTGAAGGAGTGAGTGTAACAGGCAGTGAGGGAGGTAGAGAAGTTGAAGAGGCACAGAGGAGGGGAGCGCGGCGAAACCAGACGGAGCAGCAGAAGGTGGAAGCTTACGGCAGGAGATATCAGCAGAGCTCGAACAAGGAAGAACAGTGTGACAGTGTCAGGAGAGCAGCGGAAAATACTGTCCTTTGGGATTTCCAGAGAAAGTGCGCAAGCGATGTAAAGAACCACTCCAGTATGAAATATTGAGTGTTTATAAGCCCTTTACAGTAGCCACAAGAAGACACCATTGCGCCATAATTAGCGAAGTGTAGTGGTATGCAGGCAAAGTAGTGTGAGCAGTGTAGAGAAGCAAAGTAATTGAAGTAATTTAGTATTGCAGAGCAAAAGTGAAATTTAAGTAAAATTGATTAGTATGCGGTAAGTAAGAGTGTGATTAGTGTGCAGAGCAAAGTGAGTCTGAGTGATTTACAAAGTGGGAGTGTGATTAGTGTGCAGAGCAAAGTGAGTCTGAGTGATTTACAAAGTGAGTGTGATTAGTGTGCAGAGCAAAGTGAGTGTGATTAGTGTGCAGAGCAAAGTGAGTCTGAGTGATGTACAGAGCAAAGTGAGTGTAATTACTGTGCATAGAAAAGTGAGTGTGAGTGAAGTACAAAGTGAGTGTGATTAGTGTGCAGAGCAAAGTGAGTGTGATTAGTGTGCAGAGCAAAGTGAGTCTGAGTGATGTACAGAGCAAAGTGAGTGTGATTACTGTGCATAGAAAAGTGAGTGTGAGTGAAGTACAAAGTGAGTGTGATTAGTGTGCAGAGCAAAGTGAGTCTGAGTGATGTACAAAGTGAGTGAGATTATAGTGCAGAGCAAAGTGAGTGTGAGTGATGTACAAAGTGAGTGTGATTAGTGTGCAGAGCAAAGTGAGTGTGATTGTGATTAGTGTGCAGAGCAAAGTGAGTCTGAGTGATGTACAGAGCAACCTGAGTGTGATTAGTGTGCATAGAAAAGTGAGTGTGATTAGTGTAGGGCAGAGAGTGAGTGGGAACTGCATGCAGACAGGGAATGAGCTGCAGTGAGTAGGACTGGGACATGGAGGCTGAGTGGGATAAGTACAGATAGTGAGTGAGGTTGGAGTGCAGACAGCAAGAGTGGGATACAGAGAGCAAGAGTGGGGTACACAGAACAAGAGTGGGGTACACAGTGTGATTGTGGTACACAGAGCAAGAGAGGGTTACACAGAGTGTGATTGAGGTACAGAGAGTGTGAATGGTGTACAGAGGTGTGATTGGGGTGCAGACAGTGAGAGCGGGGTACACAGAGCATGTCAGACTTTGTATAAGTGTGTCAGATTGTGTATGAGTGTATCAGATTGCGTATGAATGTATCAGACTGTGTATGAGTGTGTCAGACTGTGTATGAGTGTATCAGATTGTGTATGAGTGTATCAGACTGTGTCAGACTGTATATGAGTGTGTCAGACTGCGTATGAGTGTGTCAGACTGCGTATGAGTGTATCAGATTGTGTATGAATGTATCAGACTGTGTATGAGTGTGTCAGACTGTGTATGAGTGTATCAGACTGTGTCAGACTGTATATGAGTGTGTCAGACTGCTTATGAGTGTGTCAGACTGTGTATGAGTGTATCAGACTGTGTCAGACAGCGTATGAGTGTGTCAGACTGTGTATGAGTGTGTCAGACTGCATATGAGTGTATCAGATTGTGTATAAATGTGTCAGACTGTGTATGAGTGTATCAGATTGTGTATAAGTGTATCAGACTGTGTCAAACTGTGTATGAGTGTATCAGATTGTGTATGAGTGTATCAGACTGTGTCAGACTGTGTATGAGTGTGTCAGACTGTGTATGAGTGTGTCAGACTGTATATGAGTGTGTCAGACTGCGTATGAGTGTATCAGATTGTGTATGAATGTATCAGACTGTGTATGAGTGTGTCAGACTGTGTATGAGTGTATCAGACTGTGTCAGACTGTATATGAGTGTGTCAGACTGCGTATGAGTGTGTCAGACTGTGTATGAGTGTTCAGACTGTGTCAGACTGCGTATGAGTGTGTCAGACTGTGTATGAGTGTGTCAGACTGCGTATGAGTGTATCAGATTGTGTATAAATGTGTCAGACTGTGTATGAGTGTATCAGATTGTGTATGAGTGTATCAGACTGTGTCAGACTGTGTATGAGTGTGTCAGACTGTGCCAGACTGTATATGAGTGTGTCAGACTGTATATGAGTGTGTCAGACTGTGTATGAGTGTGTCAGACTGCGTATGAGTGTGTCAGACTGTATATGAGTGTATCAGATTGTGTATAAATGTGTCAGACTGTGTATGAGCGTATCAGATTGTGTATGAGTGTATCAGACTGTGTCAGACTGTGTATGAGTGTGTCAGACTGTATATGAGTGTGTCAGACTGCGTATGAGTGTATCAGATTGTGTATGAGTGCATCAGACTGTGTCAGACTGTGTATGAGTGTATCAGACTGTATATGAGTGTGTCAGACTGCGTATGAGTATGTATGTGTGTGTATGTATGTATGTGTGTATGAGTGAGTACACATAGTTATACATATAGTCATAGCAGTACAAGTTGTCCTGTACACCTGGAGTCTGTAAACTGAGCCGCTCCAACCAGCTGAAAGAAATGTTCAAACAATAATAAATAGATTCAATTCTACATTTTTCCCATTCCTCACACCTAGCTATGACTCGTCACGAAACCAGTGATAGGCTGACAAAGGCACCTAATGTGTCTGTGGACTACGTTTCCCATGATGCTCAGTTAACGTTTAGCTTATCAGGGCTGTGAACTATGCCTTGTTTCACTCCCTGCACTCCAACTTCGCTTAGCAGGTGTGCAACAGGTGCAGCTTCCCAGTACTGGTGACACCAACATATTCTACAGTGCTGTACAATTTCCTGACAAACAGAACATTAAATGCAACAAGTGTTTCATAAATGGGAGAATAGCCTGCTATCACAAGCTTAGAGTTTAAAGGAGAGGGGAGCAAATATAAGAGAATGAGTTGCTAACAATTGTGGGTTAGTATAATTATAAGGCATAAAAAATGTGCAAAATAATAAATGAAAACAATATAAAATATTTATCCTTATACATAATGAGTATGAGTCCAGACAGCCCCCTACAAAACCAAGAAGATGCTCTCATCATGGTCTATGGGGTCTCATCAAGCCCATAATCCAGCTGGGATGACTGGCTAGTGTGAGTCTGCCAGTAAGGATGTTACGGAGCTGTAGTCTGGGCTCCCCTAATGTGAGTCTGGCAGTACGGATGTTACGGAGCTGCATTCTGGGCTCCCCTAATGTGAGTCTGGCAGTACAGATGTTACAGAGCTGCAGTTTAGCTCCCCTAATGTGAGGCTCGCAGTACGCATGTTACACAGCTGCAGTCTAGGCTCCCCTAATTTGAGGCTGGCAGTACGCATGTTACACAGCTGCAGTCTAGGCTCCCCTAATTTGAGGCTGGCATTACGGAGCTGCAATCTAGATCCCCTAACGTGAGGCTGGCAGTATGGATGTTAAAGAGCTGCACTGTGGGCCCCTCTAATGTGAGGCTGGCAGTGTGGATGTAACTGAGCTGCAGTCTTGCTCCCCTAATGTGAGCCTGGAAGTAAGGATGTTACAGAGCTGCAGTCTGGGCTCACCCAATGTGAGGCTGGCAGTACATATGTTACGGAGCTGCAGTATGGCACCCCAAATGTGAAGCTGGCAGTATGGATGTAACTGAACTGCAGTCTAGCTCCCCTAATGTGAGTCTGGAAGTAAGGGTGTTACAGATCTGCAGTCTGAGCTCCCCTACTGTGAGACTTGCAGTATGGATTTAACTGAGCAGCAATCTAGCTCCCCTACTGTGAGTGTGGCAGTACGGATTGTGAAGAAACCCCCCTATTCCCTATGTGATTTACAGTTTGCATTCCCTTTTTATTTTCTATGTACTGCCTATTGCATTCGGTAAATGAAACTACCGAACCGGGACCACCCTCTGGCTCATTAAACATCAAAGGTTTAGGTGAAATTGCTACCTCTGTCTGTGCGGCCAGCATTCGTTAGTCGAACGCCATGTGGCAGAGAAAACCGCGGCCATCTTTGTTCATGCGAACA